CCACTATACAAAACATAATTCTGAAAAGTCAAGGCATAAGACAATGAAAGAACTGTACAGTGATGAGTCCAACCAGGAAGTTTTTTATGAATTTTGTAGGCCCTGTTGTAGAGCCTAACTACACTTCAGAAAATAGGGTACAGGAGGAGTACATTTTTGTGTATTCTAAGTACATTTCTGTCCCCTGAGGTACATTCTGGACTTTTGTACCCCTATAGAGCTAATAATTGCACCCTACAGTACATATTTGTACTTTTTGAAGGCTTGAAATGTACAATTATGCTCCCAAGTAGTTAATGGTACATATATGTACCCTGTATTGATGATTTTAGGGTACCATGTCAGAAGATGGACAYTGAAGCAATAAGTCATATTGAATAAATGTAATTTGACGGTAATATTTAAAGACTTTTGAAATGACTTTGGGAAGTATTTTTGAGTAACAAATAAATAAAAACATAAATAACTAACTAATGCAAATGTAAATAATACTTAGATATTAAAAACACTAAATACACTAAATCTACTTCTAACATTTAAATTACTTAAGCCTACATCTTTTTTTCATATAATTTTATTTTAATTAATATTTATTTCACATTGGCAAAGAATTAATTTGATTTTCTTTCTGTCATGGAAAAGTTTGCTCCAAAGGGGCGGATCTTTTTTTTCTCTCTTAACTTGGTTGGTCGAATCACCTGTCAAATAGGCATAGCCCACACTGATTGGCTGTCAGTGTTTTTGAATGGGATAAACTCAAAATCGTTTTTTTTTTCTTGCTGCTTGTGGAGGGAGATTTTGTTAGAGTGGCCTTTGCTAGTCTTTCAGCTGAGGAACTCTTAAGAAAACGTAAAGAAGAAGGCAGAAGTCTCAGAAGGAGAAGAACAGTGATTCAGAGGTAAGCTGTAAAAACAATATCTCTAGCTGCTAGCCGAAATTAGCRTGACCCTAGCTAAGCTAATTTATGCCCTAACTTTAAACCAACTTTAGAAATGTGTCCTTGGTGTGCCTTCCAACATTTATTTTTTTTATTATTTGCTACTACGTTCTGTCTTAACTCTGTCAAGTTAAAAAGTTAAGCCTGTGGATGTACTAGCCGCTAAGTTAGCCATTGCTAATGCTAAATCGCGCCATGATATTGTTTGGTTTAAAATGGCGCAATAGATAAATTAATGGCAAATATATGCCTTATCCTCAGGTTAGTTTGTTTTGTTAAATATTAGACAGACATTACCGATTTTTATGGATAGTTTTGGACAAACTGTCCACCATTCTATAGTTTTATGAACAAGATAAAAATGTCACGTTACGTGTATACAGTTATTACGGTAACCGTGTATAGCGGGGGAGAGAGCATGTTGCACACAACAACAGCTATTACGGTAGCTGGTCGCACTGAAAAAGAAGAGCCGCAAAGTACTTTAAAAATAAGAAATAAATAAAGCAGACAGCAAGCCACCCACCACCGCTGTTTTGTCCAGWGCTATGGTATGCGTGAATTTATTAATTTTGGTCGAACTGTGTTGATCATGGACGTGATAATTTAGTTCATGGTGAGACGGTGTGTTGTCAACAGAGCGACTGTGTCCAAATAAATAGAGCTGAAATGTCGTGCTTTGTTTGACTAATGATAAGGACCCAAATGTTAAATTAAACAAAGCTTTTATATACATAACAACAAAAGTCATGAGAGGACAGGGAGTAGCTGCAGCGTGAGTGAGAGTGGGAG